ATACACGACCTTATACATCTACAGGTAACAGTGTCTATACAAGACAGACAGACAGACAGACAGAACAAAGGAAATATGAATACTGCAGGATATTGATAGTCCGAAATGGTGACTTAATTAAAACAGACAAGGAAAACTTGCGTAAATCTATGTACCTGTCTTGCGGCGAGTATAACGAAGGCGGTGGTTACAAAGGTTAGGTAATATCCGGGGTAGAATCCATGCCACCACGCACTCACAACGAACACAGCCAGAGTATTGTACGCCTTAGGCATACGATCATACACCACTCGGCGTAACCAGATCAGTGTCTGGATATTCCACATGTCTATATTCACTTTCAGACTGGTCGCCGTCTACAAGTATTAATGTATAGATAATACAATGTTAGTGTTTTTATTAAGGTAGCCTGTCTCTACGTTGTATTTCTATAGAACATGTCTGTTTCCAGGCGATACCCAAATTAACTTGACACACTTTATGTTTGAGCAACAAAACAAACTATGATCGTAGGGAAATACAACAAGAGGCCCAATGGGCCTGCATCGCTCACCTGTTACTAATCTAACACTTGTAATCTTAAGATTTCATAAAAACCTATTAAAAGATTTAAACATATAACGCCTCTGACCTTGATTGTTGAACAAGGTCATTAGGTTGAAAGTCCTTCATCCAAGCATGCTACAGACCCAATATCAGTACCCTGGGCCTTTTGGTTATTGAGAAGAAGTTGTATGAAGATTTTACGACATTTGACCCATGTGACCTTGAAAGTGGGTCAATGTCATTCATTTGAACAAACTTGGTAGCCCTTCATCCAAGCATGCTTCAGGCCCAATATCAGTACCCTGGACCTTTTGGTTATTGAGAAGAAGTCCTTTGAAGATTTTATGACATTTGACCCCTTTGACCTTTGAAAGTTGGTCAAGGTCATTCATTTGAACTAACTTGGTATCCTTCATCCCAGCATGCTACAGGCCGAATTACAGTACCCTGGCCCTTTTGGTTATTGAGAAGTCGCTTGAAGATTTTACGACATTAGACCCATGTGACCTTGAAAAGTGGGTCAATGTCATTCATTTGAACAAACTTGGTAGCCCTTCATCCAAGCATGCTACAGGCCCAATATCAGTACCCTGGACCTTTTGGTTATTGAGAAGAAGTCCTTTGAAGATTTTATGACATTTGACCCCTTTGACCTTTGAAAGTTGGTCAAGGTCATTCATTTCAACTAACTTGGTAATCCTTCATCCCAGCATGCTACAGGCCGAATTACAGTACCCTGGACCTTTTGGTTATTGAGAAGAAGTCGCTTGAAGATTTTACGACATTTGACCCCTGTGACTTTAGAGATTGGTCAAGGTCATTCATTTTAACACACTTGGTAGCCCTTCATCCCAGCATGCTACAGGTCCAATATCAGTACCCTTGGCCTTTTGGTTATTGAGAAGAAGTTGTTTGAAGATTTTACGACATTAGACCCCTGTGACCTTGAACGTTGGTCAAGGTCATTCATTTAAACAAACTTGGTAGTCCTTCTTCACAGCATGCTACAGGCCGAATTTCAGTACCCTGGCCCTTTTGGTTATTGAGAAGTCGCTTGAAGATTTTACGACATTTGACCCCTGTGACTTTGGAAATTGGTCAAGGTCATTCATTTTAACAAACTTGGTAGCCCTTCATCCCAGCATGCTACAGGCCCAATATCAGTACCCTTGGCCTTTTGGTTAATGAGAAGAAGTTGTTTGAAGATTTTAAGACATCTGACCCCAGTGACCTTGAAAGTGGGTCAAGGTCATTCATTTGAACAAACTTGGTAACCCTTCATCCCAATATGCTACAGGCCTAATATCAGTACTCTGGGCCTTTTAGTTATTGAGAAGAAGTTGTTTGAAGATTTTAACATATTTCAACCCCTGTGACCTTGAAAGTGGGTCAAGGTCATTTATTTGAACAAGCTTGGTAGCCCTTGATCCAAGCATGCTACTGGCCAAATATCATCTTCCTAGGCCTTTTGGTTACCGAAAAGAAGTTGTTTAAAGCAAAAAGTTGACGCTGGACAGACGGACGGACAACGGACGCTGCACCATAACCATAACCTTCGGGCAGGTGAGCTAAAAAGATGTTTCCTTATGACAGAACTTACCTCCAATCTCCATATATGGACATTATTCAATAAGTCCCACTTTTCCTTGCCATCTTCATCATAACCTTGAAAACCAAGTCCAGCACTTTGATTTGTTAGCTCCCCTTAAAGGAAAGTAAGTAATCAGCAACTCTAATAATGGCTACAGCAGACAAGTGTCAGAGTGGAATCACATTGCATACAAATTAGTATGTTATTTCAATTGTTTGGTCAAGTGAAATATGCCTTTATTATTTGATTTTTTATGATTTAAACTACCATTAGGTATACCCTAAATTGTTGTTTCCCTATATAAACTACCATTAGGTATACCCTAAAGTGGTGTTTCCCTACATAAACTACCATAAGATATACCTTAAAGTGGCATTGCCCTACATAAACTCCCATTAGGTATACCCTAAAGTGTCGTTTCCCTAGATAAACTCCCATTAGGTATACCCTAAAGTGTCGTTTCCCTACATAAACTCCCATTAGGTATACCCTAAAGTGGCGTTTCCCTACATAAACTCCCATTAGGTATACCCTAAAGTGGCGTTTCCCTACATAAACTACCATTAGGTATAACCTAAAGTGTCGTTTCCCTACATAAACTCCCATTAGGTATACCCTAAAGTGGCGTTTCCCTACATAAACTACCATAAGGTATACCCTAAAGTGTCGTTTCCCTTCATAAATTACCATAAGGTTTACTCTAAAGTGTCATTTCCCTATATAAACTACCATAAGGTTTACTCTAAAGTGTTGTTTCCCTAAATAAACTACCATCAGGTATACCCTAAAGTGTCGTTTCCCTACATAAACTACCAAATATGTACCCCCTCCCCAGAATGGGTGGACCAAAGGCTACAAAATTCACAATTTTGATGAAGCACCTAGAGATCTCTGTCTTTGAAGGGTATTGGATTCTAGCTTTTCTGAGTCTAAAGAAGAAAACAGTTGAAATTTTGGCCAATTTGACCCCCTGACTTCTGCCTCCCTCCCCTGGGGCTAGCAACCATATAGTTCACATTTCTTCATGTATATAAGCGTCTTGCAAATTCTCATTGAAATCAGTTATTAAAATGATATTTGAGATGAAGAAGAAAGGATCACAATAGGTTGGTCACATGATACTTTCTCTCAGCTGACCATAAAATTCTCAAATAAGAACATAGCTGGGAACAGTTCGGAGAACTTTGTATTTAAGGAGATGATAAGATTAGTAGAAAATCTCAAGGGGAACAATTCATTTTATAAACTTACAGCAAATATAGAAGCAATACAACCATGTAAAAGAACTGAGCTTAAGATTAAAGTCATGTCATAAACGTAGGGTCCACAGACGACTAATTACCAAGGTGTTCATGACTCGCCAAAAGTCTGACGGGTTTTAACATTTTAATAGTAACAAGAAGCTTTCCACATACCTAGTTTCCAGGCGAAGTAATATTTTGCCCGGACTAGTGACACACAGATCAGTAAGTACACATTACGGTACAGGATATTTGTCTTGTACAGGAACTCATCCTCTGTAAATATATTAAATATCAACATATTTTTTAAATAAAGAAAAAAACAAGAGATCCCAGATCTTCATAAGTTCTATGTCAGTTTGATCTTTTCTTTTCTTTTCCCTTATCTGTTTGATCAGTTTGCCTGTCCCCCATCTTAATCAGTCATTTGATCAACATCAAAAGTTAACATGCACAACTCAGGACCAAGGGGAACATACATATCACAGGTCCAAGGGGGGCATACATATCACAGGACCAAGGGGGGCATACATATCACAGGACCAAGGGGAACATACATATCACAGGACCAAGGGGAGCATACATATCACAGGTCCAAGGGTGGCATACATATCACAGGACCAAGGGGAGTATACATATCACAGGACCAAGGGGAACCTATATATCACAGGACCAAGGGGAACATACATATCACAGAACCAAGGGGAACATACATATCACAGGACCAAGGGGAACATACATATCACAGGACCAAGGGGAACATACATATCACAGGACCAAGGGGAACATACATATCACAGGACCAAGGGGAGCATACATATCACAGGACCAAGGGGAGCATACATATCACAGGACCAAGGGGAACATACATATCACAGGACCAAGGGGAACATACATATCACAGGACCAAGGGGAACATACATATCACAGGACCAAGGGGAACATACATATCACAGGACTAAGGGGAACATACATATCACAGGACCAAGGGGAACATACATATCACAGGACCAAAGGGAACATACATATCACAGGACCAAGGAGAGGTTACATATCACAGGACCAAGGGGAACATACATATCACAGGATCAAGGGGAACATACATATCACAGGACCAAGGGGAACACACACATCGCAGGACCAAGGGGAACATACATATCACAGGAACAAGGGGAACATACATATCACAGGATCAAGGGAGGCGTACATATCACAGGACCAAGGGGAGCATACATATCACAGGACCAAGGGGAGCATTCATATCACAGGACCAAGGGGAACATACATATCACAGGACCAA